AAACAACTAAATTTGTTTTTTAACAATATTTATTACTATCATGGATTACTTGAAGATATCATATCAGATAGAAGAACTTAATTTATATTAAAATTTTGAAGAAATATTTTTAAGATTCTAAAGGTGGATATAAAACTATATTTGGCTTTCTACTCTCAAACTGATAGACAAATAGAATAAATCAAGTATCAAAGCAATATTTGAGGTATACCATCAACTATCAACAAGATAATTAAACAACTTTTTTGTCATTAGTAGAGTTTGCTTATAATAATAAAATACATTCTTCTATACAAAAAATACCTTTTTTGGTTAATTATGATTATCATCTATGACTTAATCTTTTTGACTTTTCAAAAGTTGATAATCATGTGGTAAAAAATTTAACAAATTATTTATTTGAACTATATATAATACATGTAGCTTTTAGATAGATAGTATATATAGAGACAAGAATAAAGCCTTCTTCACACTTTTCAATTCCTTTCTTGCTTGTAGTTTAGTTTCAAGGGTCTCTAATTTTCTTATCTTTTGGCAATAGATATTTTAGTTTCTTATTAATATACATATTTTTTATCTCTATTTTTTATCTTTCTAAAAAAAAAAGTCTCACTTATTTATTTTCCTTAATTAAGTTTTTATCTTTGATATTCTATAACATTGAAAAGAGCTTAATAATCAAGAGCCATTATTCTAAGTTTATTGAGTGTAAGAATATTAAGCAAACAAAAGATTATTTTAAAGCTTTAAATAATAAATCTTTAAAAATTGTAATCAATATTGAATCTATAGACTCTACATCTAATTCTAAAAGCAAAAGCAAGAATACAATAGAAATTTTAGACAATGACAACAATCAATATCCTATTGTTTAATCTTCACCTTTAATAAAAGATATTCAATTACAAATTTTTACATTTGGACATCAACAAGTTGTTACAATGCTTCTTCTACTTCCACCTTTATCTATGTTAACTTGTTTACAAATACGTGAATTAGAAAAACAAGTACTTGATGAATCTACATTAAATTAGATGCCTTTGAAGTCACTCATATTTTTAGCATATATGCTACATGTTTTTTTATACAAGCACCAAAAAACTAAATATTTTTATTAAATTTATAAGAAGAGATAATACTTAAAAAAAAAAAAAAAAAAAAAAAAAAAAAACAATGTATTTGAAATATAAAAGTCTCATTGACAATAATACATAGACTTTGACATTCTTAGCAATGGATAGAAGATCTATTAGATACAAGTAGATTTTAAGATTAAATAAAAATAAAACATTGACTACTATGAGACTTTTTTTCTTGTAGCAAAAATAACTTGAATTCATACACTTCTTAGACAAATTGCAATTGAAGATTGGGAAGTTTATTAAATAGATGTAAGGGTAATATTCTTGAATGTAGATCTTTAAGAAAAAATTTATAGAGAGCAACTTAAAGGCCATATCTGAAAAGACAAAGAGTCTTTTGTTACTTAATATTTTAAAACTTTATATAGGCTGAAGCAATCTCCAAGGGCATCATATAAAAAAATAGATGAGAATTTTGTCTTACAAAGTTTAAAAAAGAATCACATAGAATACAATATTTATTTATTGAGAAGTTCCAATGGATTTATTATCATTGTATTATATATAGATAATTTGATCATGGTCTATAATAATAATTATTATTTTTAAATAAAAAATTATTAAGCCACAAAATTTGAGATGAGAGATTTGAAAGAAATCCATTATATCTTGAGCATGCAAATTATATAAGACGAAGAGAGTCATACAATTTATTTCAATACTTAGAAAAGATTCTTAAAAGATTTGGCATAGAAGATTATAAACCTTTAATTATACCTTTAGATTCTAACAATAAATTTTTAATTAAAATGAATCCACAAATTCATAGGAAGTTGAACAAATAAAAGATGTTTTGTTTCAAAGTACAATTGGATGATTAATTCATGCAATGATAGACACTTGACCTAATATTACATATGAAATGAGAGTTATAAATAAGTACATAGTAAATCATTTCCTATAACATTGAATAGCCATTAAATTGGTTTTTTAATATTTAAAAGGTACATTAAATTATGTGCTATAATATAATAGAAGCTCTTGAATTTGCAATTGATTGACTATTATGATGGAAAATATGGATAAGACATTGATACTTAATATTCAACTATTGGCAATAAATTTTTGTTGATTGGCAGTTGTATTACTTGGATTAGCAAGAAGCAACCACTAATTGTATTGTCTACCACCAAAGGAGCATATATGGCAACTATTATGAAAAAAAATAGTAATTTGGCTTCACAAATTATTCAAAGATAATAGATTTACACTAGAAGATTCCATGACTATCTTCAATGTTAACCAAAATTGTACTTTTTTTTTTAAAAAATCTAACATTCTATACTTATACTAAGCATGTTCCAATTCAATATTATGTTGTTCATAAGAAGATTAAAAATGACAAGATTGATTTATTATTTTGTAGAACTTAGGACATGATTGCAGATATTTTTATTAGAGGCTGAATTTATTAGATGCATTATAAATTTTAAGAAGATGATAGAAATCATAAAATAATATTGATCTAATTTTTCATTAAATAGGAGTATTAAGAAAGTGCTTATATACATGTATAATTCCTATTAGATATTATGCATATGACTACTATGAAGACAATTGATACTTAATTATGAGCAATTAACAACTTGAAGCTGCGATAAGTTGATGGTACTACCATATAGTCTTAAATAGCCAAATAAGACAATTATCCCTAAATCAAATAGATCTTGGTGGTAAACTAGTTGTAAGTATGTTTGCACTAGAAAGTCCTTGCTATTAGACTATGGACTTGTATTATAAGAGTCCAAAGTTAAAACTCACTTCATGTAGTTAGTTCTCTTGAATCTTCTTTGGTTAGGTAGTGAATTTATTTATATTCACATAATTAAGCTTTTAACTTAATAATGTATTTCTTCATGTTTTTTCACAAAACTTACAAGATTTGTAGGTACTAGTCATTTTTTATTTTGAATTGATATAGATTTCAACTATATCCAATAAACTCAATAAATTTAAGATATTGCTAATACTACTATAATTTTTGCTATTGCCACTATAATCCACCATCCATTAGATGTATTTATTTATTTATTTATTTATTTCAATTAAAATTTCTATTATTACTTTCAATATTTTTTTTTAAAAAAAAATTTATAGAAGATAAATTTTATTTTAATAAAAAATTTAAAAAATAAAATTTAATAAATATAAAATATAGTGATATTATCAACACTCTGTATTTATTTGTATTCAAATTTATTTTTTTTCAAAGATTCAATTCTATAAAATTCAAATTATAAAAATCCAAATTCACTTGGAAATTGCATTTAATTTACTCTTCATGCCATATAATATATATATATATATATATATATGTATATACTCATGTATTCTTGACAATAGAAAATCTCCCTGTCACTTTTGTGGTAATATCAAATATATTCCTTATTTTTGTAGTAATATCATATCTACACTTCAATATGATAAGGTATGACAACTATTCCTTTCTAAGTACAACTAAGGCCCAACTTGTATGCTGCAAAGAAATTGGCAGATCATCTTTGGCATTTTTGGCACATTGAACTATTGTTGGGTAGTAATGGCTATGCCAAGCTTATTGCTTCAAAATTTGGTGAATACCATCATGGTATTAAGATTGATTCAATGAATCCTCTAATCATTTTTATTGCATAATTGTGACTTAGTAGTTAGTGTAAAGGCTACAAAGTCAAGCTATGAATGAGTATTAACTTCAATCTATATTACTTTATAATTTTTACCGTCTGCATGCTAAGATGAACGCAATTCAATCACTATCTATTCTAGATTGAGGCAAGCACATTACGGGCCGGTTTAGGAGAACATGATGCTAATGCAACTAGTGTATTAGCAACTCAATAAAGTTATTGCAAATGCAAAGCAGGTTAAGTCTACAATTGAAAAAAACCAGTCCTTGCTCATTCTTAAGGTGATCCATTCATGATGCTACAATAGGATTGGATTCTAAAATTTAAACCGATAAGAGCAAAAGTGATTAATAAACTTTGCAATGTCTTGGTGTACTTCTTTGTCCTTTGTAGGTGAGAAAAGCCAATAGGTGAATTTTGTGAGTTGAGTTTATGGCTTGGAACTTTAAAATAGAATATTACAAGTAAAAGAAACAATAGTTAAGAAAGATATTATTGTAGTCCATAAGAAGAGTTTTATCATGTGCATTCAAATGTTGGGATTCTTGTGCAAAAGTAGGCAAAAAAAATGAGACGTTTCAAATCATCTAACCACAAGTTTCTTCAATGTCAAAAACTATGTCTAACTTGGTGAGCTTTCTTGAATAGTGAAGTCAACATTGCTATCATGGTAAACATGCACTTTGTCAAATGGCCTCAAAAATGGCCACGCCGTAGTCTATGTGGCACAAGGAGGCATACTATGCCAAAATGTGCCAAAGATGGTCTACCAATTTCTCTACAACATATAGGTTGGATCTTAGTTGTACTTAAAAAAAATAGTTGTGATATCGAGTTGATGAATAGATTTGATACTATCACAAAAAAGAGGGATAGATTTGCTAATATCAAGAATATAAGAGTATTCTTGATATTTCAACATATTTCAAAGGAAAAAAAGACATTAGCTCCCAAAAAGAAATTCTCTAACTTGACAAGTCTCATAATTCCTAAAATCATCCAAGCAAGAAAAAAACTTTAATAGACTATCTCAAATAAACTCATAACCACATTTGTGTAAGTTTACGTGAAAAACACTGGTTTTAAATTAGGCTTGTCTTGGACACACACATACATATGTTAATATATATATATATATATATATATATATATATCTTCAAATTTGTGACACTTAACATGAGGAATCAGAATAAGATTGACAAAACCAAAAGTAGCATCCTCAGCATCAACCTTCAGGAACATATCATTTCAAGCTAAGGTCCCCAAATAGAGACTTCATTTTGGTTTCCGGAACAAGGGGAGTACAGTACACCCAGAACTGAAACCAGAGGTGTCAGTCCTGAAATGGGCTAGGAACCAAAATCTAAAATAACAGATGTAAACTTCTGATTAGCTAGCCTGCCAACGATGGTATTAGAGGCTAACAACTATCTCAATGAGGAGAAAAAATGCTGCTAAAAAAACTTCCAGCCTGTTCCAGGAACAAAACCTTCCACGACATGTATACAAGAACCTTACCAAACCAACTCGCTGAGACCATAAGCTGGATGGACAGAGGACGGGCAGCTAGCGACTTCCCACGTATCTTGTGCACCTTGGTGCAAATGATATAACATACCAGCTTACTACAACTCGAAACCTTTGGTGCAAATCAAGTTCTTCACCTTAGAGTATGATGTGATCATTAGAATTTCAGCAGGCTTTTGAATAACCTTTAGTACTATCAAAACAGAAAGCATGCCTCTGAAGACATCGAACAGGTAGGATTCCTACGACGGAAGATGGCGGCTCAGGAGTCCATCAAAGGCAGCATATAAGTCTTTGTTTTCTGGACCAAAAGTTTCCTCCGCTTTCCTAAGCGTCTCCTGCATAGGTAAGAACATGGAAATCATGATCGATCAATTCTGAGGAAACCAAACATAAACAAGATCCTCTAGGAGTGACACGAATAATCAGGATTAATATAGTATTTATAACTATTTAAATACTAGGATATTAAATATCACCCATAAAACATACAAATTTGGTAAATTATCAAACTTTGCAACAAAGGGAACAGCTTACCTCTCGTGTCTGCCGATGGGCATTGAGTTCCTTGATGTTAGCTAAGAAGGCACTAAATTGCTCATATGACAAACGATTCCTGCACCCATTACACAATCACAACTTTCGGATCAGGGTACAACAATCGACGAAAAGCCCAAACTAGAATGCATGCACAAAAGCCACATTGGCTTAATTGGAGGAGAAGCAGCGAGCCATTATAACCATGTAAGAGACAACATTGGAGACTTGGAAAGAGAGGTACCTAGCCTGACGGAAGAAATCTTTCCCATCTACTCGGGGTGTCCGAGCTGCCACAAGCGATGTAACGATGAGTTTTAAAACACAATTCAGTTCTCTTTTTCATGAAGAAAGTATATTGTCACTGAGGCAAGGAAATATTTCAGTCAGACGGAACAGGCGATCACACCACATTTTGGGAAGTTTTCTAAAGTAATATTAGAAGTTAAGGAAAGTAATTACATGGATCGGAGCCGTGACTCGGTGGGGAGTTTGGGGCAGTCGTGGACTGGCTGGTGGGTTTCGATGATGGGAGTGAGATTCTGTGAGAGTTGTCAGTCAAACTCATGCTCCTCCGTGGTGAAGTCCTTCCAGATCCTCTAGGTGATCCACTAGGAGTCAACTTTGGGCTCAAATGCGGTGTACCTCGGGCAGAATTATGAGCAGAACTTTGATAACGGGTGGGTGGCTTCAATGCTGCCCCTGTGATTTCAAAAGAAATATGACAGAGACGTCACTCTTTTTGTAGTCTTGGCCACAAAACTTCACAACCTAATCTCTCGAGCTGTACTGAAGCGAACCAGGTGCAAAAGCGGAGCTCACAAATGGCAATATCAGATCATCAGAAACTTACAAAACTGGCAATACTACAGGCCATTGCATGAATCAAACTAGTCATTATACAAGGTAGCATATTACGCAGTGAGCAAAGCTTAGCCTGTAAACGGCTGACGGATTCTAAGAACGACTTGGGATAGATTTGTAGGTAAACTTTGATCAAAAATCTCAAACCAGCATTTGACCTCTCAATAGTTCGTTTTGTTAAAATTAATTAATCAACTTCGAAATCTCAGACAACCATTAGAATTACAAACTACTGCTAATTAGGTGAACGAATTTACAAGCACCTTCTCGATAACCGCGCTCTTCAGTGGTTCCGGAGGAACTTGTACTAAAAGATTTAGCTGATTGACCATCGTCATCCAGAAGCTGAGCTCTGCTTACGGTAGATTCAGCTTCTGCAAACACATTATTCAAAATTAGTGTAAACATAACTCCAATCCTCTACTCTACTCTGACGAAATATGTCGTTTTCAGAAAGCATAGCTAGTCTTACATAATCTTATCTCAGTATATGAAATACTCATCTAGGAATACTCATCTCAATCTATCATGCACAACTATGCAACTTCCAAAAGGATGTAGAAACTCACGAGATGCTCTCCTTAGTGCCAGATTTGAATTTGCACCTCGCTTATCACCGCCTTCACCCTGAAGATATGAAAACCAGAGCGCGTTTCAAAGTGAATCTGGCTGACCTAGCTCGAAGACAGTGGATTCCCTTACATAGCGAAATTCAACAGCAATCTAACATGCTACTGATTTAACCAGGCTCGGACGCTACTCGAAGACAAAAGTGTAAAATTGACACTCGAAAGAAATTGACAATTATCTAAAGAGTATAAACCAAACGATGTCCATCGAAAAGAGAACCTCTCATCTTCCTCTCTCACCATATTTAGTAAAGAGAATGATTGAAGACTAGGTTAGATACTTACGTAAGGATGGTCGTCATCTTCTTGAAGAGATTGCATAAGTGTGCGCTTAAATGTCTCCAGCTGCAGGATATAACGAAAGCAGATCAAAAACATAAAACGCAGAATACTGTCAAAGTCACACAGGCACATGAAAGATCTCGAAAACCTCCGTCTCGAATGCTTTCAGAGATAAAAGCATGTGAAAACGTTCTGAAGTAAGAAGCAGCTAAACAAATACATTCATGCTGATTGGTTCAATATTCTATCGTGAAAGAAAATGTACACGATCGTACATTGAATCCAGAACCCTCATAGGTTATTTGAGATTGAAACAAAGAAGGATGCTACTTGTTAACTCAGAAAAACAAATATGTTCGTGCACTTGTAACTTAGAATTAGGGTTCAGACCAGCCAGATTCTAGCCAAAAATTCGGCGAGATAACATCCAACGTACCTTCGCAACATCTCTCATCAGCTTTTTCACTTGAGCTGCCAAAGCATTTTTCTCATTTGCTAGCTTGGTCTGTCAAAACAAACATAAAACAGTAGTTCACAGAATGAGAGATGTAAAAGGACCACCATCTAGACGCTGCAGCAGAGAAAACCTGGAGAAACCGTAAATTAACAGAATGTCCCTAGACTGCTGGATGGAGGTGACCCTATTATATGCTCTAAAAGGCTGCCTGTAAAAGTAAGTATTTAGGCCCAAAGAAAGGTCCATAAACAAAAGCAGTTATTTGGAAATCAAAAACATAAATCCTTTTCAGTTACTAAAATGAAATGGAGAAGGTAGCTAAAGACTATCTGAAGCACGATGGGATTGCACCGCGATTGTCAGAACCTAAAAGCTACTGCCTTAAATTTAAAAATCAGTTGCATGACGAGGGTACAAATTTAATGCTTTTTAAAACAACCTCATGTCAGAACACATCAAGGCCAGAAAAAAATGTATGTATGTATGTATGTATAAATATATCGTTACGTACTTAATACATTGCAACCGTCTTAGCAGTAAAGGAAGCACAAAACATGGGACTGTCTAACGATCGAGAGCACAGGTGCTAACAGGTGGATAATGGTATGCTACGAGGACTGCAATCCATGTGTAGATTTTCACAGCATAGGTTCTACCGACCGGACATGCTAAGGTATGTAATCGAGACTATTAAATGACAATGAAAAAACTCAATCCGCATAGATGTCGAACGAGTTCTAAGAGTATTTTCACTCCAAAAACAAAGTAAGCGAAACGCGAATTCGCCAAACCGAAAGAGTGCCAGAGCTTGTGCCAGCTGACCTTGATGACCACTGAATGTACCAACTTGAAATGAGGATAATAGGACAAGCGGATCCTTGCGAGTGCAACAAAAAGGGAAATGCCGATCTCAATTTGGACTTAATCACAAAATAATGTGATGAAAACAGGTTCACCGCCACATTCACTTGCTCAACGCAGCCATCAGCCACGAGCACATTGGCAGCTATGAGAAAAATCCCAAGGACCAAGTCTCACACTCCACTTCCGGAATTTCAAAATTCAAAAGGAAACCAATCCACATCACCACGCAAGGATCGCAATCCAGCCATCCAAATTCCTCATAAAGGGAAAAACAGTCAACCGACCTGCTCATCCAAAGCGTGCGACAGCCTGGAGCTGGTCTCCTGCAAGGTATTCTCCGCCTCCACAACGCGCTCCTGCAAACCATAAGTCAGGTGCTCCTTCTCCGCCAGCTTCTGGCGCAGCTTCCCCGTCTCGCTTTCCAGCTTCGAAACTCGGGCCGCGACCGCCATGGCAGTAATCCGCCTGGCCACATCGAGCTGCTCGTAGGGATCGGAAGGCAACACAGCCAGCATCTCCTGCGGAAGCTCGAATTCGCCAGCGCCATTGCTCATGGCACCCGCGTAGGGACTCCCGCTCTTGCTCATCCCCACTCCCCTCCTCACACCCTAACCTCGCACCAGGACCACCACCACTAGCACCACCACGACGACGACGAGCTCGCGCAGGCGTTGAAGGAGTAAATGGTGCGTAAGAGCTTCACGGCAGTGAGAGAGGGAGGAAGGGCCGGGCCGGGCCACCGGGCCCCGTCCCCACCCGTGCCCTAATGGGGCGGGCGCGAGAGTAGTGCCCTCCTCGCTCTGTATTCGTTTTTTAAAAACATTTGAAATGATTAAACTTATTATATCCATTTTGTTAATATGTAACTGAACTTTCTTGTTTTTCATCCCTTGGGGGTGTTGTAATGCAATTCAGATTCAGATGGTGAAATGAGCCAGATTGAGATCCTTTTACAATTCTTAATTGTTGGGCAAAAAGTTGAAATGTAATATGTTGAAAGTCGGAGTTGATTATTGAGTTCATATCCAATTTGATGAGCCACAGAAAAATAAATTTTATTGATAATATATATATATATATATATATATATAGATTCTACAGAGTAACTTTTTTTAATAATTTTTTCGTGTGTTTTGTTGTTTGGATAATAATTATAAATCAACAATTTAATTTTGTTTATAACATTATTTTACATATTGACATCAAATTTTACATACTTTGAGATTTAAATCTTTTGGTGTTTTGCTTATGTTACTTATATTTTGAGTTTTCAATTAAACACTTATATTAAGGTATGGAACTAAAGTCTATTATTACAACACTTGTGCAGTCTTGTATTCCTTTTAAATAGGAATTTGAAGTTTTGGCTCTTATTCTTTAGTTTTAGGTTTTTACATTTTTATTTATACATATATTATTTTTACAAAGAACTCAAATTTAATAATGCTAAAAAAATTATATTGATATTCAATTTAAAATAAATAATATATATATATATATATATATATATATATATATATATATATTCTAATCAAGAGACTTTTAGAAATTAATCTTAGGTTCATGTTTTCTTATTTTAATTTAATATTGAAAAAAATACACTATTTATATTTTTACTTCTAAACTATATTTATTTAGAAATATATAAATTTATAAATGTTGTATTAAAACATATCTAGTTAATTTCATATTGAGCTTCAATTGTAGTTTTTTCTTCTAAAAATGTTTGTTCTTTTTCATGTCATGTCATTTTATTTTTTAACTTTTATTTACCTCATTGGTTTTTTTAATGATTATAGTACATAATTATAAGATTTTTATAAATAAAGATATTAAAAATTTAAAATAGATTAAAAATTAATTCTAATTTATATAGAATATGTATTTTTTTAAATACATACCTTTAAAAAAATTAAGATAATATATTTTTTAATAAAATTTTAGAAAATATTCAATAGTTTATATGTATTACTTTTTATATAATTACTTGACCATCTCTAGGCATCACTTATTATAAAACCAATAAGCAATCTATTTCTTCTATTAATATTAATTATTTAAACCTTTACTCTTATTTCATGTGGAATAATTTAGCAATGGATGTATGTCATTTCTTGTGGAATTATCAAGCAATCTATATGTGCTATTATATATTAGGACTTATTAATGATTTATTTATATAAATTCACACAAATATTTTTAGATATTACTTGTAGAATTATTAGTACTATTTTATGCTCTAATTTTTATGTCTTTTTTTAAAGCAATAAAATAAACAACTTTCATAACTTTTAGTCAATAATTTTTATTATTAATTTTAGTTTTAATATAAAAAAAAATTATTAAAAAGATTCTAATAAATATTAAATAATTTTTATTATTTTATCTATATAATCTTAATATAATATTTAATATAATTTATTTTTTTTACTAATATTCTTTAAAAAAAATTAAATTATTATTTTATTTATATATATATATATATAAAAATATATATATTCATAAAATTAGTAGTGCAGATTTAAAAGATTGATTGCATAATTAAAGGAATGATATTACTATAGTTTTTTTTAATTTTTTTGCTAAAATAAATATGGAATATATTCATTATATTAATAAAGTGATAAAAGTACATTAAACTACTTAATTCTTTACATCTAAAAGGCAAAGTGACAAGGACATGAATCACAAACAGTAGTATGATATTAGAACTAAAATAGCTATTACCAAAGACAAGAAAACTAGAGACTATTAAAACTAAACAAAGAACAAGAAAGGTGTTGATAAGAATGAAGAAGGCTACACTCTTGTCTCAATGTATAATATCTAATTAAGAGCTACATGACAACATTTTATAGACCTCTAACTTAAACTTATAAAACAAGTTTCTTCTATGTTTGCCATATGGTCAACATGTACCACAAGCCACTAATATATGCAGCACATAGCTAATTTGTTGGTTAAGATTTCAACCTACCAACTATTAACAAAAATATATAAAGTCAAATTTGCATCTATAAAGTTTTTTAGAAGCTTCACTACAAGATATTATCAAATATACCTACATTTATTTTCTATCTAATATTTCTTATCTAGATAGATAAATATGTTTGTGACAATGTCATATATATATATATATATATATATATATATAATAAAACAATTGAATTGAAATAAGTAGAAGTAAAAAAATTTGATAATAACTTATGAAAAAGCTTTTTAAAAGCTTCATAGGTGTGGATTTAACCTGATACATGTTTGTAGGTGATTGGTAGGTTGAAAATTGGGCCAACAAATTGGCCACATAGTGCACATTTTGATAACTTATTTTCCAAGTTGGATACATGTCTGAGGCCTTATAGAACATTATTATGTATCTCATGATTAGATAGTATATATGGAGGCAAGAATGAAACTTTCTTTATTCTTTTCAAAGCCTTTTTTTTTTCTTAGCCTTATTTCAAGAATCTCTAATCTTTTTGTTTTAGATAATAATTATGTTAGTTTTAATATTATACTATTTTTAGATAAATATCTATTTTTTTATAGTGATATAAAAATATATTGATTTTTTTTTTGTTTATGATTCATGTCCTTGAAAAACATTTATGTATTATGTTCTTTGAATAAGATTTTTTATTGGCATTTTTTTCTATTAAAAAAAATATAAGAAATATGTTGAATATTTTAAAGAAACTATGTCTAAGTATTTTAGGCATTACAAAGATGCTATTACGGATCTTAGCCTTAAGAATTTTTAAATAAATTAAATAATTATTATTCCTAATGTCCCTCTATATAATTAAAAAATATATTTAAAAAAGAGGTTTTACAAAGATGGATATATGTTTAAGATCTATTTAAATATAATTTGATATTATTTTTTTGTTGAAAATTCTTTTTCGTATAAAATAATGATGCACTTTTATATATTTTATTTTTGTATAAAATATTAGATTTTTTTTAATTTATTTACAAAATAATTATCATAGTTAACTAAAAGAGTGTTTGATATCAAAGCTTATATTATTGATAGTAAAGGTAGGCTTTTAGAATGAATAAATATTGATATTTGTAAGAATTTTTTAATCTAAATTGCTTCTAAGGTGCCATCTAGAAGATTGATCTATTTTGACTTAATAAAGCTTTTGGTGACGATTTTTTTCTTCTTACTTTGCTATATCATTGTAGAACTTACAATGAAGAAGCTATAATCCTTTGCAAAGTGTCAAGTGTTAGAACAAGTTATATAATTTTTATTGGTGTAGCCTTTAATAGTCATGTTTTTTTTTGTTTGTAATTTTTATCCAAAGTGTATTATTTTTTTGACATAATATAAAATGCGCTTTATTGCATCTAAATAAGTTAGTTGGAGATTTGACATAAACATGAAGATTGAATTTATAGAGTGTATTAAATCTAATTAGTTTATAATTATTAACTATAACAAAATTTGTATTCTTTCAATTTTTTTAAAATCTTTATTATATCAATTAAAAAATATTATATTAAATAAAATACTTCAATTTTTAAATTATGAAATATATAATAATTATAATGAATTTAAAATAAAGGAAAAAATTCATAAATGCCATTGGTGTTTGTTGATATATCAAGAATATCAATTTATTTTGATAATAGCAAATTTGCCCCTCACAAAAGTGATAATATCTAACATACCTTTGATCTTAATAAACTATAAAATATAGTTTTTATTATAGTTTGAACTAAGCCCAAAGCGCATGCTGCACACTTTGGCACGGCACTCCTCTTCTTTCCTTGATTTTGCCTGAAAAATATGTTGATGCTGCAGCTACAGCTGCTTGGTAGTGTGGAAAAGTTGCCTAGCATTCATGCTTATAGTACATTGGCCCCGCACCTATAGCAGTCCCACACTCCACCACCACTTGAAGTGGATTTGATCATAACAACATGCCTTTCACAATGCCATCTTCTCACAATACTATCAATATACATAAATTTTGAATCTTTTTTGAGAAGTGTTCAGGTCTTGAATTGCTTGATACTATTTACAAAGGATATTTAGATAAGGACTGATTGTTGACGAGGTTATGTTTTTGCATTGTTGGATTTTAAAAGAATGTGATTTTGATTGATGTTTATATATTGATTGAGTGTGGGTGATTTGATTATTCCTAGTGTTGGAAGTACTTCCTATTCCCAAATACAAAAGTAAGATTGTACAATACATCAATTTTACTAATTTAAGAGAATGTTTCATTGATTGAGAAATGCTAAATTCAACTTGAAGTATACAATAGTAATTTGATTTTCAACTTTTAACATGGTTTCATCAAAAGTCATTTCAGACTCAATAAGATATTTATTACAATTATTAATAATATATTTTATAAAATATTCATGGAATAAAAAAATATTCATACTATATATATTTTAATATTTTTATTTTAAAGTTTTTATAGAAACATACACTCCAGTCCTAATGTTCCCTAATAATTGCTAAATATTTTGCATTTGACTTTGTATTCTTAAAACTCAATGAATATGGTTGACTTTAGTGTATTACATTTGAAAAAATGAATCATTAAACAAAAAATAATATTTGTTAATGCTCTCATGCTTACATTACATTGGCTTTGCAACTGTAATTGTCCCACACTCCACCCCTGCCCAAAGTGGATTTGATCAGAACAACATC